AAATAATAATAATAATAATAATAATAATTTATTTGTATATGGCATTTCTATTAAAACCTTAATGGGTTTTCAATTTAAAGCTAAATATAATTATTTATTAACAGCTGAATTGACAAATTAAGAAGTCAAAATTACAAATTAAAGAGTCAATGATAAAAATTACAGGTTGCTTATTCAAATTCTAAAATTGACATTAAAATACATATATAATATCTAAATTTTCCCCTAGTGAAAGAGTAACATGTAATTAGAAAGTTTGTTGATCCATTAAAACTATTTTCTCTCATTATGAAAATTTCAAATCCATACCAAAAAACACATCTGATACAGTCTGCACAACATGTGTGTCTGTCAGCAAGTTCTTAGTATCTTCACCTTCCTCCTCTTCAGACTCTTTTTGTGCTAAAAGCAGCTGGTCCATTAGGTCACGTGGAGTAGCATCTGTACATCAAAAGGAACAGGAATCATTTATCAAAGTTGAACAAAATCAGTGCGTCATATTCCCCAAAATAAATGTTAGTGTTGCATACATTCAGAAATTCTGAAAGGGAGATGACTTCACATCAGAGAGTACCACTGGGAGATGACTTCACATCAGAGAGTACCACTAGTATACATTTTCATGTGCTACTTAAAAAGTACATAACTTGAAAAAGTACAACAATGAATGAGTGAAATATAAATATATAAGGATATGTCATACAAAGTATACATGTATTACGTGTACACAATGTACATGTACCTCCTCACTTTCCAGACACAACTTGAAAGTAAATTGTTTGCACATACTGTGCTATAATACAAAACAAATATTTCTAAAAGTCAATACTGGAGTACTTTTTTAAAAAATGTACTGGACTTTTGAAATGGTGCCTAAGGACATTAAAATACTTGCAAAAAATATGAATTACCTGGATTAAAAGTTGCCTTGTGCTCTTTCAATTTCTTATAGATTATTCCATGCAATTCCTTGACACACTTTTTAAATGAAGCTACTCTTTTTATTGGTGCATGCTCCAGCAGAGGTAGCAAATCTGGTGGTAGAAAACTTTGGAAGAAATCTTCCACCAGCAAGGTTAGTAATTTTCTCAACTGAAGAAACTCGGGGTCATCAATTTTGTAGCTAAAAAATCACAACAATTAATCAAATTGGTATTTAATTCTGTGATTGTCGTGCCTATTAAATGAAAGCACATATTTTTAAGATATTTACTGAGAAGAACTGATTTTATAAATAGTATTTTTTTAACCTACTGATAGTAATGTTGATGAATTTTACTCTTCAGACTGAAAAGATTAGTAATCAGGAAATTATTTTACTGTCTTGCTTTATAAATTCCGGATAGGGTATACCCTTTATTAAGGGAAAATTATTTTTGCTATAACATAAAGGTGTAAGGCACAATTAATGACTTTGAGGTGCATTAACTATTATTGTTCCTACCTCTTTCCAAACGCCATTCTACAGATAATGTTGTACAACATTAAATGGATGTACTCCCCAAAGTAAAAAGGTTCTTTCTCTTTCTCCAATAAAGCTGCCACATCACTGTAGGAGGACTTCAATAGTTGCTCCAACTTAGTCCCCATGGCATATGTCCTGCAAAACCAATGAAATATATGTATTATAATGACGATATACCAATATTCTCATTCATCAAAGTTTTGCAGGATATGGACTAAATGGTGGAAAAAAATTATAAGTAACAAATGAAGTATTTTTTCAAAAACTTTGAAAAAAAAGCAAAGTTTTGAACCTAAACAAAAATAGTCAAATTTCTTGAGAACTTGTCAGGAACTTAACAGAAAAACATGTTTATCTCTTCAGAACTGATTAATGGCACAAGAAAACAATGAAAACATTATTTCATCAAATAGCTTTATTCTTGGTCTTCTGAGCCATAAGCTATACAGAGGTACATGTACCTGATAGCTTTAAGTGCCAATTTTCTTTGAAGCTTCCAGCTTGGACCAAAGTCACCAAACGCTATATCTTTAAACCCTTCAGTAAAAAAGTCAGCTGTAAGAAAAAGATAATAAATTATCAATAAATATCAGCTTCCAGCTTAGAAAAAAGTCACCAAATGCTATATCTTTAAACTCTTCAGTAAAACTGGTCAACTGTTAAAAGAGGATAATAAATTATCAATAAGATATCCCATTTCTTGCAATGCTTTAAGTGGAGGATATGATCATTCTTCTTTGCAACAAATGAATTGAAGTAATTTAGGTATAATTAATATGAAATTGGATGAACAAAGTTTACAAAAGCCACCTTTAGTCATTTGTAGAAATTTTTATGTTGTGGACAATAAGGTTGTTTTGATAAGATTTTTATATGTACAGTATGTAAGCATCAACCACATAGGTAGAATTAATGCGCATCATCGCATGCCAAAATGTTTTGGTTCAATGTTATTAACCAGTATAGTATTACCAGACTGGAGACACTTAATTTAAAGTTTTCATTCAACTATCTGCTTCAAAACCCCCTTGAATATTAATTGCTATATGATGGAGATCAGACCCATAACATACCTCCCATCCCTGAGGTGACTTCTAGCTGCAATATTAGCCATAAGTAGTTACATGTACCTTCAGCAAAGTAAAATTATACCAAAGATTGTATTTTCTCAAGGTCTTACATGACCAAATAGTTGTGTCTCTTCCTGCCATTATTTCTTTCTTCTCTACGAAGGCTTCATGAACCACATCTGCAGAGTTCAAAATGACAAGCTTATCCAGTACCAACCCTGAAAAGAAAGGATAACATTTTAAAGTTACATATAAAACGAGTGAAGATTCCCAGTAATTAGGGCATTTAAACCACATCAACTAGTTTCTTATACAACCAAAATGAAGTTGACATGCAACGTCACATTTACCAAATGAATCCCTTGTATATAATGGCTTTGAAATGGCACTTTCTTCAAAATTTTGGATCTCAGGCTATTTATCCTTCCCTACAGTTTGTAAAAATCCCATAAATGATGTAGCACTGCATGCACATTGCACAATCATCACTCTCACTCATCTCCCACGTACCCGAACATAATGACACATTGATGTTAAGTCGTGCCCACAATTGCATATTTGGTATTTCTATTAAGTATACTATTTCAAAATAAATGGTGGCATTTGGTAGGATTGTGAGACAAAATTTGACTTAAAATGCATCTTTAATCAGTTGATAAGACCAAATTTGTTGCCATGTACACCCTAAAAGTTCCTTTCCATCTCAAGTTAAGAATTTGTCTGTCATGATGTTAATTGCATAGGATTATGCTATTTTACAAAAAGACATTAATTATATTAGTTTTGACTATCCTAACAACTAAATAAATATGAATAGTTTGTAACTTGACTTGCCTAAGCTAACTGTTGTCATTTCACCATATGTTTTTGCCAGTTCTTCACACACCTTGAACAGTCTAACATCCTTATTGAGAGCTGCAAAAAAATAATCAAGAATTTTGATATACATGATGCAAAATGATGCCAAACTCTTTTTTAATGTATCAATTAAGAGGGCAACTCAAAAATTATTTAAAAAACTAAAGGATATATACCGGTAGGGCTAATATGAGTTTGAACCCATGAGTTTGAACACTTAAAACTGATTTTATGGTGGCAAAAAGTACCACATATCACATCTTTTCTACTAGCTGCTTCATACTTATAAGTACACGTAGTAAGTTAATTAAGCTTCAATATACCAAAAATGCTTCCAAGATAAGGCACTTGCATGGGTCCAGGTGGTAGATTTCCCTTCCTCCGCCTTAGATACACCATGGCTAGAAGAAATGCAAGGCTGGCAACGACTACCGTCTTCACATCTAGACCAATCACGAAATCAACTATTTCCATCTTTTGCTAATATAGCTGGAAAATATAACAGTGTGACACTTACCTATATGTAATACCAAAATCAATGGGCCATATTAATATTTTTTCTGGTAAGTGTTCCTTTTTCACTGTAAATACATGTAGGCTTTATGACACACAACAGCCTTAAAATTAATGCAATTAATTGCCCTGTTCAAAAACTGTAATTCTAGCTAGTTGTATTCTGCAAATTTAGAATGTAAAGAACACATTGGCTTATTTGACACACACACACCATAGATCCCCCTGTACAGGGTAACAAGCTCAGTTGGTGCAAATGAACCAAGGCTCGGCTGTCAACTTGATCGGTCAATTTTTCTAAAAACCACAAAAACTACTTTAGTTTATCCAAGGACGTTTTATAAGTCGTTGGTTTATCACACTAGTCAACCACAATGCTAATCTGCCCTTCAAGGCACCAGGATCTACATCAAGTTCAGGTCAAGGTGACACGCGTGCGCGATTGAACAGACCGCCTGCCGCCCTTCAGGTGCATGGTTTCTATCGTTCAGAGCCAGTTTCCTACACAGGTATTATACTGACAAAAGCCATGAATAACGTACATCTACAAAGACAAATAAAAATAACATGACTCTAGACAAATTAACGTACCTCTGACCTCTTCTAAAATTTCCACAGACGTAGGGCCTATTATAACGAAAAGAAAGAGCTGGTAAAATCTTTGACACCTCTTGTAAACAGTAAAGCTGTAGGCTAAATCTTACTAGTAGTAGATGTACTGGTGACGCATATATTTATCAGTTCCCGCAGTCGTGCTGCATTGGTCCTAAACTAAAACTTTGCTGGATTTTCAAAGGATGATATCACGACCACTGCATATGAAGTCACCAACTGAATTTAAAAAGAGTGATGCAAAAATGTTCATGGTTACCCCAGACGACACACAGGTACGACGGGCGCCGTCTACGTATTAACAAATGACGATGCAGTAGTGTTGACTTTTGTACGGCTTTTATCCGGTTCAAGTGTACCTGCACTTATAGGGCCTCACTATAAAGAATGTTAAGGAGTTCAATGCACTCAGTGACGGTCTTAAAGTGCGGCGACATTCGGATAGGAATCGCTACATCACGTTGTTTTATATCATTCGTAAATCTTTTGTTATACGGAAGCCAAGGCTTGTTTCTAAAATTCTTAAATGGTTTCTACAATCTACCCAGCTGACACATAGGCTATCGTTATCAAGTGGTTAGGCTACATTCTGCTTATAAATGACAGGCTCTACAAAATGACATTAACGCTATCATATGGTACTACGTAGGCTACGTTACATATTGTACCTGGTATGTGTATTTTTAAAAACTCCATGGAAAATAAAAACCATGATGACTAACTTGCATAACAAATTAGTTGCACATCGCAGTGTGAGCTGCCTTCCCAAACGCTCACTTGGCAGTTGGACACAGTCGGGTACACAGACTACTGGGTACACAGTAGGTCCATTTATACTTTGCAGTCGCGAGGTCTAGCTTTTATAAGACCTACAATGTGGAAGCAAATACATGTCTGTGAGTATCACTATTTCTCCAATAATTACCGCTATAAAATACTGAAGGCGCAGACGAATGAAAGAGTAGGCCTATTTACGACAAATATTTTAATACGAGCACTTACACCGCCATTCCCATTGTTACTTGTAGGGGCCTATGTACATGTATGTCATTCAGAATGGTTGAATTTATTGGTTATAGTAACTTACAGTCACCCTGAGCTTCAGAGATAACTTGCCACTAACCTCTTCACTATAGCCTATCTTCATCGTGTCAAGTAACTTGACACGATGAAGATAGGCTAATAGTGAAGAGGTTAGTGTCAAGTTATCTCTGAAGCTCAGGGTGCTTACAGTGCTTTGGGACCCCAAATGTATGATTGATTCTGTCTCTTTACGGTGTCATTCCTCTTTTATTGATTTTTACTTGAAATGTGTTATTATTTTAATTTTTATTAGGGCCTATAATTTCTATTATTAAAGGTTTTATAGTAATTTATACAGTCGAAACTTCTGTGTATGTAGCGCTACTATGAGAAATAAATTATCACTTTTGTTGATTTTGTACAGGCGGAAAGTAAAATAGACGACCTTCATGCTGTAATGAGCATATCTGGATTCCTTTTATTTCATGTCATTCCGCTGCTGGGCCTATTCACTCGTGTTAACTGACCTTGCAAGCGAGTTTATTAGAATGTATATCTCAAAATGAAGACAGAACAATTCATAAGTGTATCAAAAACAGCAAACAATTTTTATGATTACTTTAAATACATTTTTCTGGTAACCAGTAGGCCTATAACGAACCTGGAACAAACCTACTGGACACCCAATTCAAGTGCACCATATCTGTACAGGTAAAAAAAAAAAAAAAAAAAAAATATATATATATATATATATATATATATATATATATTTTTTTTTTTTTTTTTTTTTTTTTTTTTTTTTTTGAAAAATAAAATTTTTTTTTTCTGTTTTTTTTTTTT